GGTCACAGGCAGGGCAGGAGCGCCTGTGTGCGGTCCACATGTAGAGATCAGGTCCACAACAGGATCGCATATAAAGACAACGACCATTCACACCAACATTCACACTTATCATTCATAGAGAGCACCTGGTGGTCGGAACAATGAACTGCTGATCTACTGGCCTTGATGACAGAGAAGAGAACGTGTTGCAGGAAAGACGTAAGAAAGACGTAAGATTCAGGGCGAGTCCAAATAAATGATCGTTTATACGTCGATGACACTCTTTGGTCTTCACTCCATATTTTTTGTACTAGCTCACAGTCGTGATGCAGTAATCAGACAGGAGGGAGTATTCCTGTGAAACTTGTATACTGTGATTCATAAGAAGATAATAAAGGGACGTGATGAATGTAGTAATACTGTCATCTAGCTTTCAAGATACTGCAGAGGGAGATGGAGTACTCCCTCTGCAGGGGGGGGGGGCAGAACCTTGTTTGTTGGATGATTAATAGGGGGGTTAGGTTTCATGAGCATCATCAGACTCATCACTCTGGGGACCACATGTGGTGGTCTTGCATTAGTGCAGCATGTTTGAAGTGTTTAATCTCACACGCAGTATTTGTACCTGTCGAGAGACAAGAAGCAGAAGAAGAGTTTAAATATTTTCTACTGAGATTGATGAGTTTCAGACTAGAACTGTGTGAATGTAAGTGGTTGTTTACAGTTTTGTTTGGCCCCATACCCCACCACCTCCAACCGCCCCTCTGAAAAGTTTGAGATCTATAAGAGTTTCAGACTAGAACTGCCTGACTGTGAGTGGTTGTTTACAGTTTTGTTTGGCCCCATACCCCACCACCTCCAACCGCCCCTCTGAAAAGTTACCCGTGCAGCTGCTGTCTACCTCCATCTGACACAGTTGTCTTTTGTCACTGTACCTGTGAACATCACCTGGTGGGGGCACCAAACGGAACCATCTTGGTTGACAAATGAATTTGGCGGGGCCAGGGGGGTGATGTTTGGGTCTGTCATCTCCTCCTTAATGACAGCAGTGCGGACTGACGTCATCACATCATCACCCACCTACGCATCATCCCCACAAACCGTCGTCATCACCGGCATTATTCGCTTCCTCACCTGCTTCAAGCCGAGCCTCTCCAGCCCACAAACTTCCACTCAGTCCAAATGAGCTGCTTATGTAACGCTGCAGATACCACAGCAGCACTCGGTGATCACAGCAGCCTGTAGGCTGTAGGCTGTGGGCTGTAGGCTGTGGGCTGCAGACTCCCGGGGCCGAATATCGGCCGATCTCTGAGACAATCGTTAAAAACAACAACAACAACCAAATTACAGGCTTTTCTGACCAACGGGGCAGATGTGACGTCAAACTGAAGCTGTGGTTTATTTGTCACTGCTGACGTCACAGCCATCATCAACCAGCGAAATGAAACCTGGTGTTTATATTGATTTCAGATCCCGTACTGTTAAAATCCAGTTTAAATGGACCATGCGCGTGCCCGTGGAGGAGATAGAGGGAGAGAGCGGGAGAGCGCGCCTCACCTCACCTCCTCACCTATTTTCTCCTGGAAACCGCTCACCCTGTGATCAACACGATCACGTTCCCCGTCAGAAAAATGTTCGCTTCCTGTTCCCCCACACAGTCTCCATATGAACCGTGGTCAAAGCCCCGTGTTTTCACCGACACATCGCCGATAACGTGCAGCCAGTTCTGGATGCTCGGCTGCCGTTACCGTGGGGTTTGGAGCAGCAGCAGCAGCAGCAGCGGTCTGTTGTGTGGATGCATGTTACTAGGCTGCTGAACTGACCTCGATAAACACACAAACACCGTCAACTCCAAACTACATCCATTCCGTCCCGACACCGACGCTCACGTTCCACGTTCTAGACCTGCTAGGACCAGTGAACCGGGGGGTTCGGTCCGTGTCCTACCTTCACGGAGATGTCCGTTCAACAGCGCCGGGCTGTGGGCTGGAAACCAACTGTCCGGCAGGAGCCTGATCCGCGGTGTGTCCTGTCCTGTCCTCGGCACTGAGCAGCTCACACTCCAGCTCCCCGGCGTCGACTGACTCTGCCGCTCGCTGCTGTCAGGTTGACGTTGGGAATCAACCCACTCCTTCCTGTTACATCACACACTGTGTACACCCCACAGCTGAGGACCTGGACCTGGACCTGGACCTGGACTGGAGCTCAACTCCCACTCTTGCAAAAGCAGTGGTTCCCAAATTGCGGCATGCATACCCCTGGTGGTACTTGGTACTCCCTCTAGTGGCATGGGTTGTCTATTTTTTTTCTTTTTCTACTGCGTTGGCAAAAAAAGTGAGGCTAAATACAATAAATGCAGAAGTGGACAGAAGTTGAACCAAGTGCCTGCTTCAAGGATCCAGGGTTTATTTATGATATATTTGTTTATGAAATGATCACAGTTGAAGTACTGAGATCACAGTTTGTACCAGTTATAGCAAGTGTACGGTTTCTATTACTATACTATACTAAAACAATTTAGTTTTTGTACCAGTTATAGCAATACTTTGTTGTACAGTATGACTTTGGCTAAAATATGTTTCATAATTATTTTAGGCAGGGGTGTCAAACATAAGGCATGTGGGCCAAAACCGGCCCGCTAGGGTGCTCAATCTGGTCGCTTGATGAATTTTGAAAGTAAAAAATTCATCCATGTTCATGATGTTTTGTAAAATCATATTTCATTAAATATGAATATTTTTTTAATATACATCACCTTGGGCTTATTGTTAGTTAGTTATGACAGTACTAGTCAGGGTTTATGTGGCCCCCCTGAACCAAAATGAGTTTGACTCCACTGATTTAAGGCATCGCTGAAAAATGCTGTTGAAGTTTAATGTTGATCATACTGCTGGAACATAGGCTCCCTCTAGCGGTACTTGGCGAAGTTCCGTCCTTGTTTACTGCCCTCAGCTGAGCAGTGTTGGTCTGTGATGTTGAAAAACATTTTTTATTTTTTTTTGCGTCAATCCTAGTGGTGGTACTTGGAGGTATTTTCAGAGTACACGGTTTACTGCTGTTAACAACGACTTGCTGTGTAACGGGATTCAAACTGCAGCTCTTTGTGGTTCACAGTGTTTCACGCAGAGAAATTACATCCTGGTTTACCCCCCCCCCAACCCACCCCAGCTCCACACGCAGTATTAAACCAAAGATGCAGCCTTTATTGTCTTAATGGATGCAGTGACCCATGGGCTACAGCGAGTGGGTGGTCGACTAATGAGCTGTTGAGAGCAAACATTTGCTCTTGATTGGCCCAGTTTGAGATAATAAAAAAAAGTCGTCTCCTATTTTGGCGCAGTACGGAGCCCCCTAGAGGAACGTGGGGAAAATAAATAAATAAACAGGTCCATATATATACTGTATATACAGTATATATGCCGCTGTATATTTACTTCGACAGTACATTTTAACTTTTTTAACTTACACAACACTGACCTCTTGTGTTTTTTCTCGTCAACAACATCCACCACGTTACAAGAATTTTTTTTTTACAGCTACAGAACATCAGCGGTTTGAACCTAGGTTTTTACAGTTGGCTTCTCTCAGGAATTCTCCGTGGGGGGGGGCAGAGGGGGTCACACTTCAACAAGGACTCCGCCCTCACCCAGTGACCTCTGGGATTGTGTCCATCGACCCCTGTGACCTTTAAAAGATTTAAGCAGGAATAAGAACTGAGGGATATGAAAAAATGAGGAGGGGGGAGGGGAAGGTGGTGAGGCCCAAAAATGTTTATCATGTTTTATTATGAAAGATTTGACAAGAAAAAGTCATCAACATGTCTGAGGTTGATCACAACCTGAAAAGGGCTTTAATGTTTTTGATCAAACCGTGGTTAAAGTTGTCGACAACCCCAGAACTTTCTTCTTCCTGCTAAAGCTTTCCTGACAGTTCATGTACTACAAAGTACTTGTATAGTACAGTCAAATAGTACACAGACAAATAATATGCTGCTGTTTAACATATATGATACTCAAAATTTGGCATTACCTTAAAATGTTGCATTTAACCGTTAGCATCAGTGCACAGCTCCCCCGTGGAACTGTTAGGTAATTACAGGTCATATATTTGTACATATAATAATAAGCTGCTAAACGAGACACTTCGTGTCTGTTGTCGATGAGATACAGAAACAGGTACGGCTTCAGCCACTACAAAAGGACTCTAAAGCTAAAAGCCTCACAGTTGCTAGGCAACGAGACAACAGTGCGACAGAGCTGGAAAAATAACATGGACATAAATATGTGGACTCAAACGTTGGTACTGTTCCTAGCCGACGACGGGCGATGGATGATGTCCATGTTTTTCCGTCTTATTCTGATCATTCTCTCGTTATCTGTAATGGAACAACAGCGAAACAACAACGGAACAACAACGGAACAGACGTTAGTGCAGTGACACAAACAACCAGACTTTAACCTGTTGGTACCACATCGACTACAGGGTAACACTTTGAAGCACACGTACGCTTTCTGCTCTTCATGCACTTCTTTATACAGTGCCTCCTGGTGGTGAAGTTGTTCTCATTCCCCCCACATCCACTGAAGACAAAGGACTGACACCTCCTGGTCTTGGAGTGGAACGCGAACCTCTTCTCGGCTCCGTCACATGTTCCAGTGTCCACGGGTTGGAGACAAACTTTGTCTCTGGGTTTCACCTCTGAAAGTCACAAGTTTGGAACCATGTGTGTTGGAGTTTGGAATCTGTGTGTATTATTTATATAATGTAGGAAAACCTTTCATTTCATAAACTGAGGAAGCGTGACTATTTATTGATCCAGCAGGGGGAGCTCACAGCTCAGAGAAAGCTAATAGAGCAGAGGGGTGTGTGAGATGTGTTTGTATACACACAGACTCAGGTGTAGTACTGTTGGTGTGGTACTGTTGGTGTAGTACTGTTGGTGCAGTAGTGGGTGTACAGGGTATTTTCCTACCTTCTGGTTCTGAGCTTCCATTCAGGACGACCAGAGGTCTGGTCAGACTGGTCAGTTCCCCTGAGGAACAGAAGGTCCAACAGTTTAGTGTCCAAACACATGTGAAGTTTTTTCCTTCTGTTGTTTTGAATTTGTTAGGAATAAAAACATGAATTTGGCAACAAAAACTAAAAATTAAATGAGATCAGAAAAAAAGGTTTTCCAACTTATTTAGGTTTGTTATTGATGTGGCAGTAAATGGAGGGATTAGAGTACTACGCAGTAAAACTCTACAAATTTCACAGAGTGTCATATGTCCTTCTTACCAGTTCCAGTAGAGGGCAGAGCAGATGGAGTGTTAGCGATCTTTGTCACGACCACTGGGCCGTCAGTGGGTTTAACTGGAACAAAATACAAAATATATATATATAAAAATACATATGCTAATATCAGACATCCCTATTACTTATATATGCTATAAACTCTATACAGATTCCTGGGCAATTTGTTTTGTCCCACATCCTTTTTTTTAACCACAGAAATCTGCTGTAAAAGTTCTTACACCTGTTGAGTGGTGAAAACTGAAACCTTTAAAGTCAGAATTTCAACCTCCTGAGTTCCGAGAAGCTAACGTCTTCAGAACCGCATGTAACGACACAAACGTAGCAGGAGACTTTTTTTTTATGGCTGTTGCTCAACCTATGGAACTGATGAAGCGGGAGACGGCAGTTAAAGCGTTCGAGCCTTTAACGCTAACGTTCAGACCTTTTACACCAAATGCCAGCGTCAGTCACGGTGCTTGAACAGACAGCTCTCCAGAGTTTATGTGCAGTTGCGGAGAGCGGCTAACAATGCAGCCGCCATGACATTTTGGATAAATGTTTACTCGCCTTTACAGTGAAAGGTCAGTAGTTAAACCGGGCCCACCTGGGTTCTGACATTTTGCCTGGCACTCTGCCATAGTTTTGAAGTTGTTGGCGTTGCCAAAGCAGCCGCCGTAGAAGAAGGTCCGGCACTGCTGGTCCTTGCTGTCAAACAAGTAGCGTTTCAACAGTCCTCGACATGGACCAGGGGCCTCTGGGAGATGACACGGGTCCTTCCCATCTACGAGAAGACGAAAGAGGGAATAAATGAAAGATAAAACTGTCAGTCAGTCTGGCCTGGTGTGGACCACGAGACGGTGGTTCCATAGTGTAGCAGGTTAGCAGAGAGTCCTGGGTTCGATTCCCAGAGGAACCCCGTGCTTGATTGTTAATCCTTCCCCTGTAAGTCGCATTGGATAAACGTTGTTAAAGAATCAAAGTAGAAAACTGGCTATAATTATCTATAACACCACACAGTTCAAATCATGGCCCGCGGGCCTTTTAGAGCCCAGTCACACCCTTTTCAGCGGCCCAGTTTGTGCTCAGACCACAATACTAGGACCAAAGGAATGTTGATTTATCCAAACATTACACTGACTATCCCCCCTCTGATTGGAAGCCACAGACGTACTAGTGTTCACAGAGGGAACTTCACCTGCCCCCCTGCCCCCGCCCCCCTGCTCTGTCATGTCTTTCCTCCCTCTTGCCTCAGCTCCATCCTGTCAGCACCTCATCTTTTATCCCAGTTGGCTCAGCCTCCTCCATATTTCACTGTGGAAAGACTTTCAACACGAGAAATAAGTTAAAAATATACTAAATATATATATATTTATTTATATTATTTTGAAAGTAAAATTTGATATGCTAATTGTGGTGAAGACACTGTTTTTTGACAAATCAAAAATCAAAATATATACAGGTATTCATGTACATATATTTAAATATATATCCATATATATTTAAATATATAAACATATGCATATATACATACATACTCTGTTGAAGAAAAACTGAATTTTAATTAAGTAGAAATTTTACATAAATGAATGAAGTGTGGACAACAAACACAATCCGCCACTAGGTGGAGACATTGGTCTAACTCGACACATACATATATGCACAGCCACCCTAACAGTGTCACGCTCCAAAAGATCAGCTAATATATCCTCAATTACATTTTTATAATGTTATTGTCTGAACAAAGTGCTGCATGAATCAGCCGTGAGTTACGGAGCTGAAGGACCAGAGTGTCGGAGGGGCCCGGGTTTATGTGTGAGGCCTGAGCTCAGGGTCTGTTATCAGTGCAGTGAAATTAGGTGTCAAGAACCCAGTGAATAAATGGAGGTCTTTTCAGGCTCAGCTAACGCTGCCGCTCCAATTATTTATCACTCAGTGGACGAGTCATAAAATTGTGATGTTAATAATAACAATAATACAGAGACTTAAAAGATCGCACATCAACAACAACAGCATTTACCACAGTTCACAGAGAAAAGTGAGATATTTCCGGCTATGATTGGAAAATCAATGTTGAGCTTCAGTAACTGGGACAGTCAGATTTCCTCCGTGGGTTTTGGTCTGTTGTCGTACACCAGTGGTTCTCAATTATTTTCTGTCATGTCCCCCACCCCCCAACCCAGAAATGTTTTCTGTCTCTTCCTCCTCGAAGAAGTGGGCGGAGCAAACGGTGGCTCATTAGCATTTAAAGGTACAGAAACCAACCGTTCAGAACAGGTCTGTTAAACCGGCAGCTCTGATCCGTCCTGGCTTTGTTTTTAACCTTAGCATGTTGCTAACACTGCGTTGAGACATCAATCAACCGGATTAATTTGCATTAGAGTAGCAGAACAGGTCGACGAAGACGCGGGGTGTAATTAGTTTTTATAAAAGCCTCTCTAATTGGAGTTGTCCCAAACTGGACTGCGTACAGTTTTTCGATAAGGGCGACGCCATGAATTATGCAGCGATCGTCAGCGCGTCGCAAATAAATTTGCTGCCCCTTCATGGAGTAAAGTGGAAGGTGAAGGTGAGGTTTTGTCAGTACAGGAGAAATCACTCCTCCTGTCAAACCTCAGAACTGATGGATGTGTTGTTGTCGAACGTGCAAGGACAGGTCCGGCTGGAGAAGGTGTGTTCCCGCTGCACGAAGGCCTTACATAATGTACACATCTGTTAGAACAAAGAACCACTGGTTCACGCCAATGCTGCGCTCGTGTGTGTGTGCGTGCGCCTGTGTGTGTCAGCAGTGTTCTAAGTGTGTTCGGACTTGGCCCGATGACCTCAGCTGATGTGGGAGACAATAGTGTGAAGGCTCTAATTGTTGTGGTTCAATTTCTTTTCAAGGGGAAGAAACTTTGATGTGGTACTGACTCACTGCAGTGACACATCCACCAAAGAGGACACACGTTATTTTACAGCTCTCTCTCTCTCTATTACACACACTCTAGTAAAGTGTGTGTGTGTGTGTGTCTCGTTAGTCATCCTCGTATGGCCCTGTTCTGGGTCACAGTTCAGGGAAGTAAGTCACATTTTCTTTTCACATGCATGAGCTTTAAAATCTGCATGTTCTTGGTTAAAGTACCAGTTCACTAGTGTGGAACAANAAATCCCGTAACATCCCTTTCTGTCTCTGTTTCCTATTTCTGAAAAAAAGTAACAATATCAGAAAAACTCATGCAGAAACTCTGGAGCTCTACATCTGGACCATGACACTTTACCAGAATTGGACCAGAGGATATGTGTTACTATAGCAGGTTTAAGGTTTCTGGGCTACACATTTTTAGTCTTTCTCTTCCTAACGATTTTTAATTTTCGTCATAAGTTGGATCTCACATGCCGTACATCAGTACCTATGTCTACGCTAACACAGTGGTGACATCGTAATCTAGGTGATAAGACCATTGGAAGAATCTGACCTACACCTGGGAGTCCGTAGGTTCAGAGACCATCGGAAGAATCTGACCTACACCTGGGAGTCATAACAAAGGGCCAAAATTCACCAACAAAAGAATGCGAATGTAGCACAATCCAATGTACGGCGTACCACTGTAAACAAAGTCATCATCAACGTATAGTGATAACATATCCGTCTGCTCCGTTCTACCAACTAATTCCTGTGAACAATTTCGAGGAGAAAAACAGGTCGAGGAAGTCGTAAACTTGTAAGCCTGTAAATGATATAAAAGAAGACGGCGCTAAATTAGCCTGATCTTTTTTTCAACACATCGTTCCTTAATGACGCAGCCCAACGAACCTGTGGCTACGACAACTACGTACGTTTAATGGCTCTTGTAACTTAATTGTTCTCATCTCTGGTTCTAACTGAATGGGTTCTGTTTCGTGGACCCGGAGGTCCGACTGCTGACGTTAATGTTTGGTTGATCTAATTATTCAGTTTGAACACTTAATTATGAGTTGTGATGAATTCATTCTGCTCTATCTTCCACTCCATGACCCAGGTGTAATTCATAAATAATAGAACAGTGACTGAGTCTTGTTTCTTCAGTGACTGGACGGCCTCAGGAAACAGTGGAGAATTAATGTGGTGCCGTTGTTCCACTTTAGCCACCTGCAAAAATGACTGTGTAATAAGATTGGAGGCCCAGGGTGGCAATAAAGTCTAATGAGGAACAGTTCTTAGAGGAAAACGAATGATTTTCACACAACAAAACAAGACACACAATTAGGAAACACATGAAATCAGTGAGTTTAGTCTTTGAACAAAAAGCTTTTCCCGTCAGTGGTTGGTTGTTGACGAGAAATGAAGCAGAAAAAACCTTTTTTTGGTTAGCGCTTAAAGCTAATTAAAGTTGAGAGTTTAATACAGAACGTGTCATCGGACGATCTGCGATAAACAACAGATTTGGCATAACCTTGAAGTTTGTTGTTTTTTAGTTTCCTTTCGTATGAATGAAATCCAAATGTAACAGTAATGATGTGAGCGCCACCTACCGTAATGGAAGGTTGTGGGTTCGATTCTCCCTTGTCCCCAATCCTAGCTTGGTTTGTATCATCAACATCAAGTGCCAAATTACTATGTGGAATACTAGTGTAGTGACCTCTAGTGTTATGTCATTTTTCAATATTGCCGGTGTACCAAATGACTTACAGCTAACCCCTGGTCTGGGGACCAGGGGTGGCACCCCTGCTATAAGTGAAGACCCCTAACGTCCTGCTGTCCCATTGAGGCCCATTGAAGCTGAGCTTCAACAGGGTTTAATACACTCCACGTCTACAGGAAGGTCTGAGGAGAAACTGTGATCAACAGGTGGTTCTGAATGAACTAGTCATAGAGTTGATCAGGTTTTAGTCAACTTTAGTCAATAAGATCAAAGACATTGTTGGTGTCCACAGGTTCAAATAAGTGACTGTAATTGGATGAATTCATTTAAATGGACTCACCGGAGACGACGCAGGTTTCCTCACATTCTTCCAGAGTCTCAAAGTTGTTGCGATTCCCTCTGCAGCCTCCGTACTCAAACAGCTCACAGCGTCCCGTGTCAACACTGAAGAAGTATCTGTCCTTCATGGCCTTGCAAGGCCCCGGATTGTCCTTTAGGGCACACAGCTCATTAAAGATGAAGAGCTCCGGTTGTGCTCCATCTGCTGAAGCAGGATATAAAGACAGGGCTCAGTACCTCACTCAGGATGGCGCGTGCACGTCCATGTGAATGAGAAGAGAATAATATTTTCACAAAAAGCTGGAAATAGTTTGAAGGGAATTCATTCTGCTGCTTTGAGGCAAAATCATATGAAATGTTAGCAGGCCTTTACGGTCGCTCACAGCTGGATTAGTTTGTCTGCCTTTACCTTTAAATATGAGGACATACGTAACCATGGTGACCAGCTAATAGGACAGAAGAGGCTGACTGTTAAACTGGCATATTCTGTGGGGAGTGTTAGTGACCAGGTGTTTTTCTTTTGTGCACATGTGCAGTAAGGAAGTGTATGCCATTCTGGCAGGAATGTAAAACTGTCAGGTTCCCTTTCAATATCTGGTTGTTTCTAGTTGTTGAAACTAAAACTAGAACTTAAGGACTAGCTGGACACTCCAGAGACGCGCAAATGGACTGAAGTTTATTTTGCATCATAAGTCTGCTTTAAAGTCTGTAGACAGGTGAGAAATAACGAGACATGGCGTAGGTTGTGCCTGTTTCATTAAACCAAAAATTATTACGAGCTTTGAAAATGTTTAAAGAAGTGAACATTTATTGACACAGACATTAAGGAAGTGGAGGAACAGAAAAACTGCCCTCTATTCTGCAGATGTCACACAGAGCAGAAAGGACACGAGTGTCCTTTCCTATCAGCACAGCAGTCAACAAACAGTCCACATGCCTGACGCGGTAATGAAACCAGCTCCCAGCTCCAACCCTCCCACTCTCATTCCTCTCCAACGGGAGGGAGGTCACAAATCAAACAGTTCTAATCTCCGGCCGTTCTCACAGTCTGTGGTACCATTCTGTGTGGACGGTAGAATAAGAAGGAGTGAGACTCAAATACAGTGTTGGAGAAAGTGTGAGTGTGTGTTTAGTCTCAGTGTAGTCATCCCACTACAGACCAGAAGACAGGGTTCAGAGCCCAACATTCATTACAGAGTCTCTAAGGTCCTGTTTACAGGGCAACGATCCCCGCGCTTTAGCCCCGATTCAGCTGGTGCGTTTAGACAAAGACGGAGCGTTAGGGCGGAGAACTGCATCCTCAGCGTATACGGAAAACTCTGGCGCTTCCATCCCCATGTGATCGGAGCAGAGTGAGACGATACGGTCCGTCACCTTTACACCAGTAGCCCGATCAAAGCCTCATAATAACAACAACGGCGGAAACCGTGCTCCTTCTGACTGATCTAGGGAAGCTAATTTGGCGGCTACAGTTAGCCATCTCCGCCTTTTCACGTTTCTTTTTCAAGCTTGTTTACGCTTTGTAGGCTGGTTTTCGAACTTCCGGTTCAAATACTTCCGGTGATAGCATGTTAGCGTTTGGTTGAGAGTCGTGAGATTCTGCGGTTCCGTTTAGACGTCAGGCTGGATCCGTGTAAACGCTCTGTTTTTTTACATCACATCCTTCAACCTCCTTTTTTTTACTCCTTTCCTTTTTCTCCACATCTGTCCAATAATCAGTCCCTGAACAGGTCACGGCATCAGTCGCTCTCCCTTTTATTCGTTTACCATTGATTTCTTGACTGAACTCGTTTCCTCGTCTTTAACTTCACGTCAGGGCCTTTTTTACGTGAAGCTCTTCATTTTGTTTGGACAATGAAAACTTACTGCCACTTTGTGTCTGTACAGTGGCTCTAACCCTGGCTCCACTGTCCAAAGAGACCATTA